CAGAGACACAACTTTGAAGCTTCCGGCCGGGTGTGCCAAAGAGCCAGATGTGGCAGGTGGAATTGTAGCAGCCCAGCATCTGGAGAGGATAAATTTGTCCCACAGAAACTCGGAGCTGCACAAGGAGGTGGTGAGAACGGCTGATTGAAAATGCAGTTTTGAAAGAAAAATTGCTTTGAAGAACATACGACATCCTTTTAAAAAAAAATAAAAGTAGGACTAGGTGCACTCGCTGTATTTATTGGGACTGGTGTGAACGGATTGTGAAGGGATCCGATACAGTGGTTCTTCGAGTTCCTCGGATTTCCATCCCAAACTCTGTCAGCGAGAAAGAGGGGTTGTGTCTGTTAGAACCCAGATCAGCGGCTGCTCAGGTCAGGTCCATCTCTGTGGTGCTTTCCCCTTTCCCCCCAGCTCCTTCTGGATACAGCAGCTCCCCACCCCGCCCCCACCTCTCCTCACCCCCCCCCCTCCCCCCCCCCCCCCCCCCCGCCCCCGCAGTGTCTCTGGCTCCCAGACTCCAAGCCAGGAGGGGCTACTGGTGACACACCTAGGGGGGCTTTAAATAGCTAAATAGGCCTCTTTTCCCACCTCCTCCACATCCTCAAGGTCATACATCCCTTTCTTCAGAGACAGGACCCCTTCTGCCTGCTGCTGGGGATCAGAGGGCCTGACTGCGAGATATACTATGAACTTGTAGTATGGAACCCCCTCTTCCACTGAAGCCTATAAGAGCCTCACCCGGCTCTGTCAAGAACACCTAACTCTCCTTGAAGCTCGGGCAGCCCATCTCAATGTCCTCCTTGAATTCCACAACCAGAGACTTCCAGCACCGCTGGAGGAAGGGACTGATGAGTGGTAGGGGCTGGCTTCAGGTCACCTTGTGTCCTCAGATATATGGATATGTATGATGTATGCCACATTCATACGGAGAAAGATTCTCCCACAAGCCTGCAGCAAGAGCCCAATTTAGTCACCCTCCAGGATGGACAGAAGCTTTTTGTGTGGCTTCCTTCCCTAGGCTGTCTTCATCCGTCCCTGTTAGGTTTTAGAGGGAGAGGAAAGGAGAGAAAGAACTGCACCATCCTTTGGACCAGAGGTTTACTAAAGCAGACAACACGGACATGACAGGCATCTGATGTAGAGTTTTAGGCCCCAGAGACAAAGCAAGGCATCTTTGGAAGGTTTCTGAGGGAAGAGAGGCCTCACAGGGTGAGGAAGCAGGCTTAGTTAATGTGTGTCCTACTCTATGTGACTGAGGTAGGGGACCTGGGCATGAGTGACTTGGACTATGTGAGGGAGGCCCCTCTTTCCTTGGGTAGGGGAGTGGGGCTTGGATAGTGTGTGACCCTTGTAGTATGTCTTTGACCCCAAGATGGCAAAGGGCTGGGTGTATTCTTGTCCTTCTTGCAGCCCTCTCTGTTTAGAATCCAGAGGACGTGGATCTTCTGCCAGACTGAGAATCATCATTACTATTTATATTAGCACGAAGCCATGCTGGTCCCAGAACAGGGGCCATAGACGTGAGTGACCTCACTCCAGTGTGGAGCCACTCTACCCACATCACTAATACATATTTGTGTGTGTCTCTGTCTTCTGGTTTGAAGGGACCTTGGAGATGATCGAGCTAAACTTATCACACTGTGGTCTGAGTCTGAGAAACAGCAAGGAGACTTGTGTGGTGAGAGGGTGTTCCAGTTAGGATGGAGTTGGGGTGAGGTCACAAGTCCCTGTCCATCGTGTGCTTGTACTCTTGCCTGTGCTTGTCTTAACCCAAAGATCCCATGATGCTTTGCTCTTCACAGCCGCCTCCAGGGGGAGGGGCTATGAAGATTGGCACATTGTGACTTTAGCTTTGAAGTGATCTCTTACGTCTATACTGATGGCACAGACTTCCCATCTAGGTTGGTTAGATGTAGGCAGGACGTGAGGCCTGACGCTGGGGAAGGGCTAGCATAATATGAAGATGGCTCCCTCAGGAAATCTCTGGGATGTGAGAGTGAGCATTTCGAATCCTTAGGGAGATGCCGAGGGCAGAGTTAAGCTGATAAGGCATGCACGCAGGTGGGCAGGCAGGCATGCAGGCATTCATGCAGGCATGCACACAGGCAGGCAGGCAGGCAGGCATTCATGCAGGCATGCACACAGGCAGGCAGGCATTCATGCAGGCATGCACACAGGCAGGCAGGCAATCATGCAGGCATGCACGCAGGCACGTGAACCCTGACCTGTCAAGTGAGCACTCACTGCTGACTAGCTATGACCTACAATCATCTGAAAAGAGGAAGCATTTAGATCAGAAAGGCCCACTGGTGTCTCTGTGAGGAAGTGTTTTGATTATTAATTGATGTAGAAAGGCCTAGCCCACTGTGGCGGCCCCATTCCCTAGGCAGGTGGTCCTGAACTTTATAAGACAGCTAGTTAAGTGTAAGCCTGCCACCCAGCAAAACCTCCTCCTCCTCCATGTTCCCTGCCACACTCTTGGATGTGAAGTGAGTTCCTGGGTCAGAGGTAATGCTATGTGGAAGAACAAGTGGGACCACCTTCAAATTTCTACACGAGTTTCTGCCTTGATTTCCCAGAAGTGAGGGACTGTAGCCTGGAATTGAAAGTCAAATAAGCCCTTTCCTCCCCTGTGTTGTTTTTTATTAGGATGTTTTAATTACAGCAGAAATGAAACTAGAACAAAGTCCTATTCCTTGTGTGGATTAAAGCTAAGCATGAGAGAAGAGCCCCACAGAAGGTGCGTTAGGGTCCCCATGGTAGAGACTGCTGACTCTGCTCTCTGTGAGGCCCTAGTTCCCTACACTCTTCCAGCTCTGATCTCACCGGTGGCTGCTGTGGAGGCCCAAAAATGTGAGCCTATTTCTACCTTGACCAAAGGTCAGAGAGTTGGAACTTATCTCTGTTCCTTCAAGGTTATTGTGTTTCTACCTCAAACAAAGGTCCCACCTAGAATCAGGTCAGAGAGTTCTGCTCTCTCAAGGTTATTGTCAACAGGTGTAGCTAATAGCCAGACCTTCTCTTTCAAGAACAGAGAAGTTCCTGAAGATACATTTCTACCTCAAACAAAAGTCTAAGGATCCAACTAAGTTCCAGTTCCCTTAAGGAGATAACATTGGGTTCCACTCAGGGAGTGGTTTGCCTACAGAATGTTTGGGTCTAGGGTGTGAGCATGACTTGTTTTGTTCTAGCAATAGAATGTTTAGCCTGTAACCTTCATCTGGTCTGTTCATTTCCTTGTATCATGTTGATGCAGTTTTTTTTTTTTTTATATCTTACCCCCACCTTTTGGGGTCAGGGTATTTTAAGCAATTGGAAATTAAATGCAAGCGATTTCAGTATTCACTGGACTCCCTCCTGGTACTAGTCTATGGTTTCTGTCTTATTATTTTCACATCTTTGCACTCTTTATTTATATTTCTAATCTCCATGCCTCTACTCTGGCAAGTGGTACTTTTGTCGAGGCTGGTCCCTGACAGGCTGCCACTCTTCAGCCCCGCAGCCCATAAGACAGAGCTTTCGGGAGTGTCAGATGACTTGCTCCCAGGCAGGATGTAAACCTAGTTACCTGCCATCCAGGTTCATGTTGGTGTCTCCCTTAGCTTTCGAGGGTGATGAGGTCACTAGGATGGTGTCTTCCGACAAGGAAGATCTGGGCACAGGTGGTGGGGTTGATAACCTGACCCCGCCTCTGAAGGGACAACTCAGATTAAAGGGATGACGGATGTGGGGGTGATAATGGCCACAGATGTGCCCACAGAGTGAGGCTGTCGTCGATGTCCCAGACAAGGGCGACTGCTGTCGAGTGGCAGTGTGACAGACAGGGTGACACGGGAGGAAGACGCTGCTCTCGGGTGTCAGCAGCAACGCCCTCCACATTAACATCCTTCCTGAGCCTGATCTCAGGGCTCCCGGAGGTCACTATGACCAAGATGAAAGTCCCCCCTGCTGGACAGAGGCCAGCTCATCCCCAGCACCAGCAAGGAGCAAGCCAGACTTCTCCCAGCACAGACACACGATGTGTTTGGGCAAAGCCTGCTCAGGTGTGACATATGTTTAGCTCTGGGGAAGGAGACAACACCCAGCACATGTGCAGGAAGAGATGCTCACAAGCTGGTGAGTCAAACTCCTGCCTCTCTTTCCTCCAGGGACAGCCTTGACTGCCCATTCTGTACACCCCAAGGAGCCGGTTTGGTACCACTTTCCAAGCGTTGCCTGCTCTACATACCTAGGAGACGGGTGGGTACTCACATCTCAAGCAGCCAGGGCTGTACAATTGGCCTGTACCAGCATCCGTACCTTACCTTGGGTCAAATCTTCCTAACTAGCAGGTGGACTCGGGTTACCTTGGTATTATCTTATGGGGTAGGGGGTATCAGGTCTTTAAATCTAGGGAGATATTGTCCCAGTTCTATTCTGTAACTTCTTCCACTACCCCGGAGCAAAGATGTTTGTGAGACCATAACCCTTGCTCACTACTAGCCCGTGTTCTGAGGTGGGTGTTCAGCTGGCTCTTGCCCTTGGTTAAGTGTGTCTACAGGCATCATCTTGGGAGCTAATTTAAAGGGGACAGATTCCTAGCTTTATTGACTGAAAAAGTGTTAGAACTGGTTGACTCTGGGCGTCTGCATTTTGGAAATGTCCTGAGGAATTTGAGCTCTGACTAGGAACCCTGCAAAATTATTTTGGATGCTTCCTACTGCTGATGAGGAACTCAGCCTATTAGTGCCTTAATTACGTGTGGATAATTGCTATGCACTATGATGTCACTTTAGCTACCCACTAAAGCACACTCTGTACTTAGAAATGACCTAGTATTTTTGTGTTCAGCAGTCATTAATGCTTTTAAAAATTGTTTATGCCGGGCGGTGGCAGTGCATGCCTTTAATCCCAGCACTTGGGAGGCAGAGGTAGGTGGATCTCTGTGAGTTCAAGGCCAACCTGGTCTACAAGAGCTAGTTCCAGGATACTTAGGGCTGTTACACAGAGAAACCCTGTCTTGAAAAACCACACACTCAAAAAATATTTGTTTATTTATGCATATTCCATTGTATTCTGACAAGGTTTTGGAATATTTTTGTGAGACAACTTCTCTGCACATGATTTTCTGGCTTCAAATGAAATTACATCATATCAACTTGAATTAAGAAAGTTTTTTTGAGTGTTAGCGATCTGCTCAGGTCCATTTTTCTGGATCTACATCCCATCTTCCTTTAATTCTCCACGAGGGCAGCTGTGGCCTAGGCTCTGAGTTGTAACAGGAGTCTGCAGACTGAGGAGGGTCAGTCTTTGAGGAGAATTTGACTAAGCAGCGGAGAGTCAGTGCAGGAGCAGCCATGAGGAGTGTGTATGAGCTCCTTGTCCTGTCAACTTCCCTCACACATAGGGCTGGGATGTGCATTTCTTCTCAGCGGTAGGACAGGTTGCCATAGAGAACCACCTTCCAGACTCCCGTCTGACTTTGTTTCCTGGAATACCACTTTTAAGGGGAGAAGGGAAATTACCATTTATGGTCAAGGACTTCGGAGGGGGTGTATTTTAGTTTACGTCCTTGTCTAAACATGAAAGAACTGTTTAAGAGGGAAAACCATGGGGTGGGGGACCAAGTTAAGGTTACAATAGGGAGCATAAACACCCTGAGGAGTTGGCAGAAAGTGACCTCCTCAATTCCCTGGCACACAGGTGACATCCCTCTGCCTTAGACCAATGAGCTCAATGGATAGCATAGGCGGCCTTCTGAACGTACCTGGTTATTTGCCAAGGGCACTGGTTGTTAGTGTATAGATGACTGAAGATCCCTCTGCTCTTCACTGAATCTGAATTCAGTCGCTGTTTTTATCTCCTGACCCAGCTCACATAGACAGCTCAGCATCTCCTCCTTGCTTCGGTTGACTGATTTCTCAGAGGCACTGGTAAAGACAGAGTTACAAGAACACAAGGATGACTTGTTAATTGTGATTATTATGATTCTATGAACTTCCTGACCATTTGTGTTCCCCCTTTACGTGTGGGGAAGGAAGTTCACCGTCATGCCAGAGAAGTTCCGGTGGCAGGCGTGTGAGCAGCTGATCACATGGCATCCACAGTCAGGAAGCAGAAAGAGGTGAACGCTGGTGCACAACTCACTGTCTCCTTTTTTTTCAGCTCAGGACAGCGCATAGAATATTTCTCAGGGTTTCCGTTGCCGTGAGGAGACACCAGGACTATGGCAACTCTTATAAAGGAAACATTTAACTGGGGTGGGTGGCTTGCTTACAGGTCCAGTCCATTATGACAGGGAGCACAGCTGTGTGCAGGCAGACGTGGTGCTGGAGCTGAGAGTCCTCCGTCTTGCAGGCAACAGGAAGTCAACTGAAAGTCACACTGAGGGAAGCTGGAGCAAAAGCCACCCCCAAGCCCACCCCAATGGTGACACAATTTCTCCAGCAGGCCACGCCTCCTAACAGTGCCACTCCTTTTGGGGGCCATTTTCTTGCAAACCACCACAGAATAGTGCAGCCCATATTTAGGGTGTGTCTTCCTGTCTTTATTAACCCAATCTAGAACCTCCTTCACAGATGGGCCCAGAGGTTTGTCTCCTAGGTGGTTCTAGGTTCCATCAATAGTAACTGCCACAACTCCAAAATGCCAAACTTTGAAAAACATATTTAATGACTGAAGTCAGCTTGAGTGTGGGTCACCTGCCAGTCATCCCAAGTAGCTTTTGTGGAACGCAAGAGTCTGAGGACATAGTTTGAAGCTGCAGGCTGTGGTCCTACTCAGAGGTTAAGAGGCCAGTCTGGTAGCAAGCCATAAGCACGCGTGGGAAGGGATGGGAGGAAGGAAGGAGAATTGTGCTTTGTCTCTCAGAAAGCAATGTCCTGGATAAAAGACTCCCTCCCCAGCAGCATCTCTGAGTTCATGCGGGAAAACCCATCTCGGGCTCTGAGAGTCTTTGTCTAGTCTCCCATCCATAATTAGGCCACAGGGTCATTGTTCCAGGTGTCATGGGCTGCATAATGTAACTTTACCAAGCCTTCTTGCCAGCAGAATTTCAAAACATGGTCAAAGTAACATGCTATTCTAGCTAGTTTTACTTTGTAATTAAAGTTACGCATCCTTAAGGAGTTGTGTCTCCAGTGCCCCTCCATATCTGTCACCTGTAGTTCCTTGCTTCTGATATGTTGTCACTTTCAACTATATATGTGTGTGTGTGTGTGTGTGTATGTGTGTGTGTGTGGGGGTGGGTGCACATCTATGTGTGTGGAGGGGGCGGACATGGCACATTTGGGAGTGCTGGCCAAAGCCAGATGTCAACATCAGCTGTCTTTTTCTACTACTCTTCACCTCATTTTCAGACGGGCTCTCCCATCAAACTGGGCTTCTCCAGTCGGTTAGACTGGCCGGCCAGTGAGTTCCAAGAGCTGTGTGTTTCAGAGCATGGTCACTCAAATCTTTAACTCTGGAGCTACAGATGTGCACTGTAATTCCTGGCTTTTATGTGGGTGCTGGTGCACTACACACAGGTCCTCATGGCTGCACCTTTACCCACCGGCCTTACTCCCCAGCCCTTGGTTTCAGTTCTTGAAGCTGAACCGGGAATTTTCCTCACAAATCATAGAACACAGCTTCAACTCTTGATGCTTCCATTGCCTGCGCCCTCTGGATCATGACTGCTGCCCCTCAGCCCTCGCTCCCTCACCTCACCACTACTTCTGATCCTCGGACTCTCAGTTACCCTGTGGACTTGGTTATGCCTTCTTCTTTCTTGGAGCAGGGCACATGGAGTTGTGCCATGTGGCTTCCCTCTTCAGAGGCTCCTGGTCTATATCACAGGGCAGTTGGTTATCTGTCAGCATCGTGATCATTCCCTCCATCTCCTCCAGCACTGGACACACTGTTTTCAGAATCTAGTCTTTTTTGACTTTTTAAAAGTCAAAAAGTTGGGTAGTGGGAGCGTGTACCTTTAATCCCAGCACTTGGGAGGCAGAGGTAGCAGATCTCTGTGAGTTTGAGGCTAGCCTGGTCTATAAGAGATAGTTCCAGGACAGGCTCCAAAGCTACAGAGAAACCCTGTCTCAAAAAACTAATAATAATAAAATTAATTGTGTATATAAGTGTTTGGGGGCAGGGCAGGGCATGTGCTCATGTGAGTACAGGTGCCCAGAGAGCCCAGAGAGGGTGTCGGATGCCCTGATGCCCTGGAGCTGGAGCTGCCTGGTGTGTGTGAGGAGAATCACGCTCAGGTCCTCTGCAAGAACAGTCTGTATTCAGCCCCAGAGCTGTCCCTCCAGCCCCCATAAGTCCAGTCTTCCTTTTCCTTTAGACTTTCATTCTGGAGCTTTCTTCAGTAATTACCTGGGTGGGGTGTAGGTGGAATCAATTCACTGATACCCTGCCTGCTTGAAGGAGTCTTCGGTTTACTTTGATGCCTGACTTGCGGTTTCACTTGGACATCTGAGTCTAGGTTGGAAATCATTTTCCTTTATCACATGAAGATAATGTCTCCAGAGTCTCCCAGCCTCCAGGGTGGCTGGGTCTCAAACACAGGCTTGGTGCCCTCTGGGATCCCTGGTGTTCTCTGTAGAAGGGTTCATTGTTGTGGTACTGGTGTTTCATGTACTGCATTCCATGTCTTGTACTCTTTCCTGGAGGCGTTTAGTGGGTCCTGCAAGTCTGGGAAATCATTAATTATACATTAATTGTCTTCTTGTCTGTCTTTATCTTTGGACCCCAATTATAGTAATATTTGGCTTCATATACTGGTCTTCTAATTTAATATTTAATCTGTTTTTCACCTTTCTGTCTTTGTGGTTATTTTTTTTTTTCTGAGTTGTTGTCTTGGGTTCCTTTTCCTTCAGATATCATCCCCCTTTCTCTCTGTCTCTCCACCCCTGCTGTGTGTGTGTGTGTGTGTGTGGGAGAGAGAGAGAGAGAGACAGACAGACAGACAGACAGAGAGAGAGACAGAGTCAGAGACACACACACACAGACAGAGAGACAGAGACACACAGAGAGAGAGAGAGACAGAGTCAGAGACACACAGACAGACAGACAGACAGACACACACACACACACACACACACACAGAGAGAGAGAGAGAGAGAGAGAGAGAGAGAGAGAGAGAGAGATTGATTGATCATGCATGGTACATGTGTGGAGGTGAGAGGACAATCTCAAGTGTCGGCTCTCATTTTCCAGCTTGTTTGGGACAGGATCTCTTGCCTTCTCTGCATGTGCCAGATAGCTGGCTTGGGGCTTCCCAGGAGTCTCCTGTTTCTACTTCCTGTCTTGGCACAGGAGTGCTGAAACTGTGGCAGAGAGCATGGCCATGGCTGTATAGCTTTCCTCTTTACCTCACATTGTGAAAATCTTTGCACACTGACCGAGTGTGTCCAGAGAAATGACAACACCTTATAATCCCTGCATAGCCGTTCTCTCTAGCCTGGCATGGCAATAAGGGGCAGGGTGGGTTTGAAAAGATGTTTGAGGTTTGGTATCTGGAAAACGTGACAGCGATGGTCAGCTTCCACCTGACTTCATTGCAGGGCTGTGTACACTTGGACCCCATTCCTGCCCTGGACATTAGGATGCTACTGTTTTCTCGGAAGGACTGGGGCCTCTCTGAGCATGGCTTTGATACCTCCCAGGCACCCAGGTAGAGGTGATCACTGCATCCTTACTGCAGCTTACTCATTCCCTTCCTCATCATTGTGAACAAACGCCTGCACGAGGGAACTCCAGGGAGGGACGGTTTGTTCTGGCTTACAGTTTGAGGGGTCACCGTCCATCCCCGTGGAGGGGGAGCCATGGTGGCAGACAGCTTTCTCCTTTGTATTTAGTAATCTAGTTCATGGAATGGAGACCCATTCAACGTGGACCCTCCTTTCTCAGCTAAACCTTTCTGAAGGCGTGGTAATAGATACCTAAACCCACAGGTGTGTTTCCATGGTGATTATAAATGTATTCAGATTGACAGTGAAGACTAACCATCTCAGGCTCTAAGGTAAAACATGGCAAGCTAGAGAAATAATATAGAGTAGTACGGGGTTGAGGGATCAAGAAGAAAAAAAGGAAACTAAATAAAATAAATAAATAGATAAAAGAGTAATTGAGCTCATGGCTCAATTCCATCTTGTCTGCTAGAGACCCGGTTCCAGAAGAAATGCCTCTGGTTGGGGAGGCACGGAGGGGGCGTAGGATGCATCATTTATGTCATTGCCTATCAGGACCCGTCTGGGTAGCATGATTAATAAAAACCCAGAGTCAGATATTGGGGTTTAACCTGAAGGTCAGAAAAGCAAAACAGCCAGCCACTGGCTCTTACCTCTTCCTCAGTCCAAAATGGCGATCCTGCCTCCAGGAATCCTCAGAATGAAACTGTACCTGAGAGCTGTCTCCTCCCATCTTATAATCCTCTCTAGGGCTGGGATTAAAGGTATGCACCACCCAATTTCTATGGCAACTAGTGTGGCTACTGGGATTAAAGGTGTGTGTCACCACTGCCTGGTCTGCGAGGCTGACCAGTGGGGCTGTTTTACTCTCTGAACTTCAGGCAAGCTTTTATGATTAAAATACAACTGAAATATCACTACACAGCTGCTCTTCTCTGTTGCACAGAATTAAGTGGTGTGCTGAGCCCCAGTGAGTAGAAACCATCCTGTCCCTAGTTACCACCAGCAAATATCCCCCCTCCCCCGAAATAAACTCCCAAGCTTCCAGACATTGGAGTGAGTTAATTTTAGCAGAGACATAACAAGAAAGGCCACAGGAACAGCAGGAAAAAGGGGCAGTAGATTTTTATCACCCAAGTAGGGCAGAAGCAGCAATTGAATTATGCCCAAAGACAGAAACTTCCTGATGCAGTGTGAACACATGTCTACACACAAACTCCAGTGTGCTGACTGTGCCCAGATGCACACATCTGCCAAGGGCAGCTGCAGAGACTGTCACGGAGCACATCAGTCAGGCTGTAAGACTACACCATGGGCAGAAGTCCTGATTGGAGAATCCTGCCCTCACCTTGCCCAGCCTCCCTTGACCCTACTGACACCTAAAAACTGGTGCCCCTGCACTGTTTCTGCCATGAAAAGTCATAAGATGGCGTTGATCTTTTGTTTCTAAGATCTTGGAAAATAATCCATTTGTAAGGCTGAAAACCAAGAATTTGGTGAGGGGCAGGGGGATAAGAAAAGGAAAAAGAAAAGAGTAAACAAATTCAGTGAAACCCCTTGATGTTTTACTTCCCTGAGCTGAAGCATTACCGCCTACTTCTCTCCTAGTTCTGATTGTCTGGTTGTCAGAAAGCAGCCATTCCCCCCTCCCCCAGCCCCCTCCCTCCCGTCCTGTGAAAGTCTCAATGTCGCAGCTACTGGTTTTAACGGAGACAGCTGCCCTGTGAAGGAGGACAGCCGCACTCCTGAATAGCTTTCTTTTTATTTGTTTCTAATTTTATTGACCACCACAGACAGGTTGTCTTGTTTTATTGCTGGATGTTGGAGGCTTTGGGTGGCAGAGGAGTTGATGTGGAAGGTGGTGGCCCCCACGGTGACCTAGGACTGGGCTGAGCAGGAGGTTGGAGTAAAAGTACAGAATGTTTGATTTTTTGGGTCATACTTAATGTTCTCTTTAAAAGCCGGGGAACCTATTAGAGTAAGTGCAGCCGGCGTCTGATAAATGGGACACATCTGGCCCCATCTCTGACACAAACCTCCCAGTATTAATTATTCTGATCGTTACAGCTGTGAAGGGGGGAGACCATTATTTATAGTGATCTTTGCTAAGTAAATCATTTAAAAAATGGCTAAATGCAATATTTCCCTTTTAAGAAGCCCTCCAGAATTAAAGGGGCTTTTCAATGGAACATGAAACATATTGCAGAGAGAGAGACAGAAGCTGTCTTGATTAATGGCCGTGATTATCAGCCATGCAAATCACTTTCACTTATTAAGTCTTGTTTAATATCCTAATGAAGGTTTCCTGAGCAGATTTGGAATTTCCAACGAAAGTGCCCTTTCATCTCGGAGAGAATGAACCCACACTATAAAGAAAATCTCATTTACCGCAATTCCTCCCCTGCCCAGGACCCTTTTCTCAGTTTCCACTTCGCAGCGGGAGACAATTAACCTTTTCAGTGCCGGAAGTGATTCCCAGCGTCGCCCAGCTGCGAAGGCCGGCAGGGTCAGGGGAGGACAGAAGTCCTCTGTAGTCTGCGCTGCCGTGGGACAGTTCTAAGAAACCGGACTGCACAGGAAAGCCTTGAAACGGGGCGGCTGGTTAGGCGACTCCGCGTGGGCAGACGTGGTATCCCGCACCCTACCAAAGTCTTTTCAAACCCCAGCCCCGGCCCATCTGCCATGGCTTATTCAGCTTGAATCAAAGACGGCCAGAAATGAAAGCAGGCACACTGAAGAAAAGCCCAACTCGCCTCTAAATGCCGGGCAGCCTTTGTGAGCCGCCAGCAAGTTGGTTTTATTGAGGTTGAAAGTCTAGGAGGTGGGGCTAGGGGGTGATTCAGGGAACCGCCTTTGGCTTGCTTTATACTGCCGGGCTCAGCGGCTCTGCTTAGGCACTGGGGTGCCGAGGAGGGCTGGGGCTTGTTCTCCACCCTCCTGTAACCAGGCTACCACCTGGACCCGGTGGTCAGGGAGGAGCTTCCAAACTTGATTACTTCTTGTTTCCAGATGCAATGTGTAGATGTAAAGAAAGCACTGAGCTAGAGCCCAGAACTTGGGTAGGGCCACAGGGCAGGTAGGGTACTCTGTGAGCTCCCATTGGAGTGAGCATGTGCAGCAGACTCACAGCAAAGTTTCCAGAGTATTTGGGCACTGCAGTCTGGATTTGAGGATCCATGTTCTGTAGAACATTAAGAGCCCACTCACATACTGGTTTGCTTTCTGTATTAAACAGAACCAAATGAACCTCCTGCTTCAGGACCAAAGATGTCTTCAGTTTGCTGAGTTTGCGTGAGGCTTTGGGTTCAACC